GGACCGCGAGTAGGACCAATGAGTCCTCTCTCCCCAGGGGTTGTGCAAACCCCGAAGACCCTCCCATTGCTTGCGGGCCCGGACTGCGCTCCCACCTGAACCTCTCTTGACCCGCGGTATCCCAGATCTGGAGCTTGATGCGTTTTCCCGGCTCGATCTCCACCAAGCGGGAGAAAAAATCCACCCCCACGGTGGGGTCAGAAACCTGGGCAAAGCGACCCTCGGTGAAGCGGCGGATCAGGCAGGACTTGCCCACTGTGGAATCCCCGATGACAATGAGCCGGAACTGGTACAGCCAGATGGCCTCCATGGCCGCGGCTGGGCAGGTCTCCTTGGCCCGGACCACGGACGGCGGGAGGGGGCGCGCCGCCGACGCCTCAGAGAGCGCGGCTCGGCCGGATCTAGCTCTGCCGCGAGCGCATCGCTGGCCTGGGAGCCCGAAGTCGGGTAGGCCCAGGCGCTCGGAGAGCGGAGGGATGGATGCTGCGCTCGCAAAGGTGATGAAATGGCAGCAGCATCAGCACCACGCACTCTGACTCATCACTGACAACCGGGTTACTGTAATCCCGCGCGTAGACGCGACGCTGGGGCCGCCGCACTGTCTCTAAGAGGAGCGCACACAAAATGGCTGCAAAATTAGCGCTTTCCCTGCCTTTCTAATTACCCCGCCCACCCTTTGATGACTAAAAATGTTCCCTATCGTTCAAACTGCAAATGTCATACCTTTTTATTGAAACTAGCAAAGCAATACAAAACTGTACGCAAAAAAGGGAAGGTACATAATTATATATTAGTCTACATGTGTTTCCATGCTCACATAAACACACAGATTTTTAAAAAAATTATTTATTATACTTTAAGTTCTGGGGTACATGTGCACATAGTACAGGTTTGTTACGTATGTATATACACACCATGGTGGTGGTTTGCTGCATCCATCGCCCCGTCATCTCCATGAGGTATTTTTCCTAATGCTATCCCTCCCCAATTCCCCCATCCCCTGCTATTCCTTCCCTAGCCCCCCACTGCCGAGGCCCCAGTGTGTGATGTTCCCCTCCCTGTGTCCGTGAAACACATGAATACTACATGTGTTTGTATTCCTATATACATTTACTGCTGTTTGTTTTTACATAAGTTAAACCAGGGCCTTACTTTCAATTAATAATTGCTTTTTGCAATTAGTAAACCATCATAAACACCTTTCAATTTCCCCTTTGTCGTAACAATGCTTCAATAAAGATTCTTTAAAGTGTAGCCACACATATTTTATTTCTATGAGCTAGAGTCTTTTTTTTTTGGAGGGGGGGCCGCGATGAGAGGGAGATCAAATGTTAAAATATTACAGTTTATAAATAGGCATATGCCAAACCATGAATAACCACAGATTAATAAGTCACTTTTAGAAGCAATTTTGAAATAATTCAAGATATAGTTATTGTAATTATTTAATTGTCATAAATTTCTCAAGTTCTCTAGGGCTTTTTTCCTATTCTCTATACCATTTTATTTTTTTTCATGTGTTTTTTTTTTTTTGCATCTTAGGTTTTGGGGTACATGTGAAGAACATGCAAGATGGTTGCATAGGTACACACGTGGCAGTGTGATTTGCTGCCTTCCTCCCCATCACCTACATCTGGCATCTCTCCTCTTGCTATCTCTCCCCAACTCCCCACTCCCCACCGTCCTTCCCCTATTTCCCCCCAACTGACCTCCCTGTGTCCATGTGTTCTCATTGTTCAACACCCACCTATAAGTAAGAACATGCGGTGTTTGATCTTCTGATCTTCTGTCAGTTTGCTGAGAATCATGGTTTCCAGGTTCATTCATGTCCCTACAGAGGACACGAACTCATCGTTTCTGATGGCTGCATAATATTCCATGTTGTATATGTGCCACATTTTCCCTGTCCAGTCTATCATCGATGGGCATTTGGGTTGGTTCCAGGTCTTTGCTATTGTAAACAGTGCTGCAATGAACATTCGTGTGCACGTGTCCTTATGCTAGAATGATTTATAATCCTTTGGATATATACCCAGTAATGGGATTGCTGGGTCAAATGGAATTTCTATTTCTAGGTCCTTGAGGAATCGCCACACTGTCTTCCACAATGGTTGAACTAATTTACACTCCCACCAACAGTGTAAAAGTGTTCCTATTTCTCCACACCCTCTCCATTATCTGTTGTCTCCAGATTTTTTAATGATTGCCATTCTAACTGGCGTGAGATGGTATCTCAATGTAGTTTTGATTTGCATTTCTCTAATGACCAGTAATGATGAGCATTTTTTCATATGTTTGTTGGCCTCATGTATGTCGTCTTTTGAAAAGTATCTGTTCATATCATTGGCCCACTTTTGAATGGGCTTGTTAGTTCTTTTCTTGTAAATCTGTTTTAGTTCTTTGTAGATTCTGGATATCAGCCCTTTGTCTGATGGGTAAACTGCAAAAAATTTTTCCCATTCTGTTGGTTGCCGATTCACTCTAATGACTATTTCTTTTGCTGTGCAGAAGCTGTGGAGTTTCATTAGGTCCCATTTGTCTATTTTGGCTTTTGTTGTCAATGCTTTTGGTGTTTTGGTCATGAAGTCCTTGCCTGTGCCTATGTCCTGAATGGTTTTGCCTAGATTTTCTTCTAGGGTTTTTATGGTGTTAGGTCTTATGTTTAAGTCTTTAATCCATCTGCAGTTAATTTTAGTGTAAGGTGTCAGGAAGGGGTCCAGTTTCTGTTTTCTGCACATGGCTAGCCAGTTTTACCAACACTATTTATTAAACAGGGAATCCTTTCCCCATTGCTTGTTTTTGTCTGGTTTGTCAAAGATCAGATGGTTGTAGATATGTTGTGTTGCCTCCGAGACCTCTGTTCTGTTCCATTGGTCTATATCTCTGTTTTGGTACCAGTACCATGCTGTTTTGATTACTGTAGGCTTGTGGTATAGTTTGAAGTCCGGTAGTGTGATGCCTCCCGCTTTGTTCTTTTTGCTTAGAATTGACTTGGCTATGCGGGCTCTCTTTTGGTTCCCTATGAAGGTTAAGGTGTTTTTTGCCAGTTCTGTGAAGAAGGTCATTGGTAGCTTGATGGGAATAGTGTTGAATCTGTAAATTACTTTCGGCAGTATGACCATTTTCACGATATTGATTCTTCCTAACCATGAACATGGAATGTTTCTCCATGTGTTTGTGTCCTCTCTTATTTCGTTGAGCAGTGGCTTGTAGTTCTCCTTGAAGAGGTCCTTTACGTTCCTTGTTAGTTGTATTCCTAGGTATTTTATTCTCTTTGTGGCAATTGTGAATGGCAGTTCGTTCTTGATTTGGCTCTCTTTAAGTCTGTTATTGGTGTATAGGAATGCATGTGATTTTTGCACATTGATTTTGTATCCTGAGACTTTGCTGAAGTTGCTTATCAGTTTCAGGAGATTTTGGGCTGAGACGATGGGGTCTTCTAGATATACAATCATGTCATCTGCAAATAGAGTCAATTTGACTTCCTCATTTCCTATTTGAATACGCTTTACTTCTTTTTCTTGCCTGATTGCTCTGCCTAGAACTTCCAGTACTATATTGAATAGGAGTGGTGAGAGAGGACATCCTTGTCTAGTGCCAGATTTCAAGGGGAATGCTTCCAGTTTTTGCCCATTCAGTATGATATTGGCTGTTGGTTTGTCATAAATAGCTTTTATTATTTTGAGATACGTTCCATCGATACCTAGCTTATTGAGGGTTTTTAGCATAAAGGGCTGTTGAATTTTGTCAAAGGCCTTCTCTGCATCAATTGAGATAATCATGTGGTTTTTGTCTTTGGTTCTGTTTATATGGTGAATTACGTTTATAGACTTGCGTATGTTGAACCAGCCTTGCATCCCCGGGATGAAGCCTACTTGATCATGGTGGATAAGCTTTTTGATGTGCTGTTGCAATCGGCTTGTCAGTATTTTATTGAAGATTTTTGCATCTATGTTCATCATGGATATTGGCCTGAAGTTTTCTTTTCTTATTGAGTCTCTGCCGGGTTTTGGAATCAGGATGATGTTGGTCTCATAAAATGATTTGGGAAGGATTCCCTCTTTTTGTATTGTTTGGAATAGTTTCAGAAGGAATGGTACCAGCTCCTCTTTGTATGTCTGGTAGAATTCGGCTGTGAACCCGTCTGGACCTGGACTTTTTTTGGGCGGTAAGCTCTTAATTGCTTCCTCAACTTCAGACCTTGTTATGGGTCTGTTCAGGGTTTTGGCTTCTTCCTGGTTTAGGCTTGGGAGGAGGCAAGTGTCCAGGAATTTATCCATTTATTCCAGGTTTATTAGTTTATGTGCATAGAGTTGTTTTTAATAATCTCTGATGATGGTTTGAATTTCTGTGGAATCTGTGGTGATAGCCCCTTCATCGTTTTTTATTGCATCAATTTTTTTTTATTATTAATCTGGCTAGTGGTCTATTTTGTTGATCTTTTCAAAAAACCAGCTCCTGGATTTATTAGTTTTTTGAAGGGTTTTTTGTGTCTCTATCTCCTTCAGTTTTGCTCTGATCTTAGCTATTTCTTGTCTTCTGCTAGACTTTGAGTTTTTTTGATCTTGCTCCTCTAGCTCTTTCAATTTTGATGATAGGGTGTCAATTTTTGATCTCTCCTTGCTTCTCATGTGGGCACTTATTGCTATATATTTTCCTCTAGAGACTGCTTTAAATGTGTCCCAGAGATTCTGGTATGTTTTGTCTTCATTCTCGTTTGTTTCGAAGAACATCTTTATTCTGTCTTCATTTCATTGTTTATCCAGTCAACATTCAAGAGCAAGTTATTCAGTTTCCATGAAGCTGTGCGGTTCTGGGTTAGTTTTTGAATTCTGAGTTCTAACTTGATTGCACTGTGGTCTGAGAGACTGTTTGTTATGATTTCCGTTCTTTTGCATTTGCTGAGGAGTGATTTACTCCCAATTATGTGGTCAATTTTAGAGTAGATATGATGTGGTGCTGAGAAGAATGTATATTCTGTGGATTTGGGGTGGAGACTTCTGTAAATGTCTATATCTCCTTGATGAGGTCCAGGTGCAGCCACTGGCACTCACCCTGGCAGCAGAGGACGCCATGTTCTTTGAGGGCCGTCTTCATGAGCTGGTAATAGGACTCTTTGAAGAGACTTTCGGTGGGGCCCATGGGGTCTGAGGAGTCAGTGATGATCACATCAAAGGCGTCCTGATTCTGTTTCATGAACTCAAAACCATCACCCACGTGTAGGGTCAGCTTCGAGCTAGAATAGCCAATGGCCATCCCTGGCAGGAACTTCTTGGAGATTTGGATGACATCCTCGTGGATCTCACACTGGACCACGGACTCCATGGAGGGGTGCTTCACCACCTCGCGCAGGAAGCCTCCGTCTCCGCCCCCGATGATCAGCACCTTTCGCGGGTTGGGGTGGCTGCAGAGAGGCAGGTTGATTATCTTGTGGTAGGAGAACTCATCCCTCTCTGTGCATTGGATGACACCGTCCAACACCAGCACGTTGCCATAGGTCTTACTGCGGAAGACTAGGATGTCCTGGTAGCGCGATCGCCGGTGGTGGAGCAGCTGCTCCACCTGCAGTGACAGGGCCTGGCCAGGCCACAGGCTGCAGGTCTCGCAGAACCAGCCCTCGCGGATGGCAGTGGGGCCGGAGGCGGCTGGGCTGTCGGGGCCGGACTCCATGGCGGGTGGGCGGGCAGCGTGGGGCGCCGGCCCGGGACTGCAGGCCGCACGGAGCCGCAGCACAATGGGACCAGCTCCGCCCGCCGCCCGCGCCGCAACCTAACCTGGGAGCCGAACTTATCTTTTTTTATGGCTGCATAGTATTCCATGGTGTATATGTGCCACATTTTCTTTATCCAGTCTATCATTGATGGGCTAGATAACCATTTGGGTTTGTTCCAAGTCTTTGCTATTGTGAACAGTGCTTCAATAAACATACGAATAATCATTCTTTCAGAATTTGCCTCTCTGATATGCTCACTCTTTGAATTTATTATTTATATCAGAAATAAACTAATGTATATATTAAACTAATAAAAATGTGAAATTATTTAATGATTTATATGGAAATGTTTCTAAGGAACAGGGTGAAATTGTTACCTCTACTTATGACATTTATAACTACAGACATCTGTTTAGCTTATACATATGCATTCCAGGAATTCAAGCAAAAGACAAAAGATTGTGATGCTTTCCATGTCATTCAGGATTGCAGTGGCTTGTCCTATGGATAAAGAAAATTAAGTAAAAGTATGAAGACCTATAAAATACACAGGGGACAGATTGTTTACGGCTAACAGAAAATACAGAGTTCCTTTTCATAAGAGAGTTGGATAGAAGAAGCAGTATTTTTCATATTCTTATTGGCAAACCCTTTCTAATGTGTCAATAAGCAAAATCTGATCACAAACACAGCCTTTTCTCCTGTAAGAGCTATCCTAACTCTTCTGTTTAGCCACATTTGCATAAGTATTTTCAATTTCTTTGTCTTCAGGACACGTGTGGGTAAATTCTTCACGGGCATAGGCATTGTGGAGATAACGCCAGACTCCTGAGAATTCTGCTGGAATGTCAAAGTCGCGATATTTCTTGGCAGCAACCTAGAATTTTGCAAAAAAAAAAAAAAAAAAGGAAAAAGAAGTTGGTAGTAAAAGGCACCAGTAACATGCCTACTATGTAGAAATATATCTTAGAAGTCAGGATTATCAAAAGCATCTTATTGACACAAAAAGTACCATAAAATAAACTACGAAGTAGACTTGAATCTTGGACTATTTTGATGTTTTGCCTACAAACGTTGACAAAGCCATAGCTTACAATCATGTTTATACTGATTCTGTATTTAATTATGACTATATTTATTTATTTATTTATTTATTTTTATTTATTATTTTTTTGAGAAGGAGTTTCACTCATGTTACCCAGGCTGGAGTGCAATGGCGCAATCTTGGCTCACCGCAACCTCCGCCTCCTGGGTTCAGGCAATTCTCCTGCCTCAGCCTCCTGAGTAGCTGGGATTACAGGCACGCACCACCATGCCCAGCTAATTTTTTGTATTTTTAGTAGAGACGGGGTTTCACCATGTTGGCCAGGATGGTCTCGATCTCTTGACCTCGTGATCCACCCGCCTCGGCCTCCCAAAGTGCTGGGATTACAGGCTTGAGCCACTGCGCCCGGCCCATTTATGACTATATTTAGAAGAAGGAAGCAAAGAAAATGAGCACATATCCACCACCATTAGCCTAAGAGTTTATTTAAAGTCCTATATCTTATTTCTTTATGTATCCACTGTGTTTGGCATAGAACTCAGAGAGTAAATTCTGTGTAAGTCTGTTCAATATATATTTGTTAAATTTATGATAAATTCATCATAATATTAATAGCCTACATTGGTTATCCCCTATTACGATCCAGACACTGTTCCAAGCATTTTAAATGCTTTAATTTGTTTAATTCTCTTAACAATTCTGTAAAATGGGTAATATTATTCTTATTTTATAGACAAGACAGTGGAAAACACCTTCTGATTTAGAAAGAAGGAAACAAGTTTTGGCTGGGCGTGGTGGCTCATGCCTGTAATCCTAGTACTTTGGGAGGCCAAGGCAGGTGAATCACTTAAGCCTAGGAGTTCAAGACCAGCCTGTGCAACATGGCAAAACCCTGTTGCTACAAAAAGTACAAAAAATTAGCTTGGCATGATGGCATGCGCCTGTAGTCCCAACTACTCAAGAGGCTGGGATGGGAGGATTGCTTGAGCCTGGGAGGTGGGGGTTGCAGTAAGCCTTGATCACACCACTGCACTCCAACCTGGGTGACAGATCCTATCTCAAAAAGGAAAAAAAAAAAAAAAAACAAAACCCAAGTTTTAATACCTCCCAGAAGAGGTTATTATGGATCTTTCCTCTAAAGAGAAAAAAGAGATGTATATGCTACACATGATGATGATGACACGTCACTGTGCTTTGTGCTGGCAACTGGTAAACCCCTCCCACCCATTCAGCCTGCCCTGTAAATACTTACTTTAATAATGTTCAGCTTGGGTAACAAGCTACAATCAGCCAGTGTTAGCTGGTCCCCATCCAAGAACAGTCTTCTGGAAACTGTGGGTTCCTCAGCACTGCCTGAATCAATTTCATCCAGAAGCGGGGTGTTTAAGTAGTCATCCAGACGCTTGAATTCTTTGAGCAGAGATTTTTCAAAATCTGACGCAATGAAGTAATAAAGTTACTTGTAAATGTATTGTCTTTACGGCTAAATGCTTTCTAAATATGCTTTCCATACATTTAGATACCTCTATCTATACACATTGCTTATGCTGGCTCTTCAACATCTAGTTAACTATTTAGAATGCTCAACTACTTACTGATAACAGAAAGTAAGATTGAATAGTGAATGTAAATCTTTTGGACTTTTCTTAAGGAGGTACATTGGTTGGAGAGTAAAAGAAGGAAAAGTGATATATGTTATCCAACTCAGAAGAGCTAGAAAGTGAAGAAAACACACAGTTCTTGTGACTCAGAGGATAATAAACCTATTTAAGAATGTTCATGGAAAATGGTAGCTGCCACAGTTTAAGAAAACTTAAAGGTACACAGTCCTGCAGTTAGTTCACACCTGGTATGTCAATATTCTAATTGAGCTGTGTTGGTAATTGCTATATTGAATCTTGAGTTCTAAATCTAATAAAACTTAATACAAGGGAATTTCAGCGGAGAGAACAGAGAATGAGGGGAAGACTAGGCTATTCCCTGAAATATGCTATATATTTTGGAAAAGTCTATTTTTCCTGAGTAAAAATATGAAGAGTGAGAGAAAAATAGAGATTTAAAGAAAGGTATCTTACTTTTATTTGCCTCCTTTTGTGTATTCTTAATGTATGCAGAAAACTTGGCAAAGAGGTTACAGCCCACATCAAAAGACTCCTTGTACTTGGGACTCAGGTGAGGATACCTTAAAAAAGAACATGAGTGAGCTATCATTTGCACATAACAACAGAGACCAGGTGCCCTAGCTTGCACTATACTGAAAATGGAAGTTCTGGAAAATTGTGCTGGAAACTAAACATCCTCATAAGTCTCCCAGTAGAAGTTTATCTTTTTTTTCCAACCTCAGAACACTTTAGTTTCTAAAGTTCACAGGGAAATCAGTTGTCTGGAATCCAATGCTCATTTATCTGTAGAAACAATGTTTCAAATGGTGGCTAGGTTTACCTACTTGCTCCAAAAACGCTATTTGGCAGAAGATAGTGTCAATACAGTACATTTTCAGAGATGAGTAGTAGAAAATTATGGTTTCGGCCGGGCACGGTGGCTCACACCTGTAATCCAGCACTTTGGGAGGCCAAGGTGGGCGGATCTCCTGAGGTCAGGAGTTTGAGACCAGCCTGGCCAACATGGAGAAACCCCGTCTCTACAAAAAATACAAAAATTAGCCAGGTATGGTGGTGGGCACTTGTAGTCCAAGCTACTTGAGAGGCTGAGGCAGGAGAATTGCTTGAAGTTGGGAGGTGGAGGTTGCAGTGAGCCGAGATTGCACCACTGCACTACAGCCTGGGCAACAAGAGCAAGACTCCATCTCAAAATATATGTATATATGGTTTCAAATATTGCAACTTAGAAAACAAATGAAGGAATAAATAGGATGGAGAAAATGGAAAAATATAGCTAAGATATCCTCTCTTAGTAATACAAAGCTCAGTTAGAATAATTAAATAAAATAACATAGTAATATAATTCACCACATTAACGAATCAAATTAGAAAACCCATATGATCATGACTAGATGCAGAAAAGTATTCAATAAAAAATCAGCACCTCATGGAGCTATCTGTGCTTACATGTTCACTGCAGCATTATTCACAAAGGCCAATATATAGAAACAACCTACAACCTATGTTCCCATCAATAGATAAATGGATATAGAAGTTGTGATATATTTCTATAACAGAATATTAATCAGACTTAAAAATATAAAATCCTGTCATTTGTAACAACATGAACATTATGATAAGTGAAATAAGCCAGGCACAGAAAGACAAATACTCCATGATCTCACTTATGTGTGGCATCATTAAAAGGTCAAATATATAGAAACAAAGAATAGAGCAGTGATTGGGAGGAAATAGGGAGATGTAGGTCGAAGGGTACAAAGTTGCAGTTATGTAGAATGTGTAAGTCTAGAGATATAATGTAAAAGATGAGGACTATATTTGATAATATTGTAAACTGAAAATTTGCAAAGGGTAGATTTTAGGTGCTCTTACTGTATACAAAAGGTAACCACATGAAGTGATGGATATGTTAGTTTGCTTGACTATAGTAATCATTTTGCTATGTATATGTATATCAAGACATTATGTTATATACCTTAAATATATATAGTACAAACAAAGGCTAAAAACTCAATTCCTTTTCATAAAAAAACTCACTGGAAGCTAGAAATGGTCAGGTCAAAAACTTAGGTATCTTCCTTGATTCCTCTCTTTCCCTCTAACTCCACATTTGATTTATCAACAACTCTGATCAGCTTACCTTTCAAAATGTATCCAGAATCTGTCCATCTTCCCCGCCCCTGCCCAGTCCAAAGCCTCCTGACTCTTCTCCCTACTCCCATACTTGCCCCTCATACACCCGGAACATTCTGCACCATAGACAGAGCAATCATGTCAAAATGTAAGTCGTATCATGTCTTTTCCTTACTTATTACGCTGCAATGTCCTCACCTCACTCAGAATTAGAGCCCAAGTGCTCATAGTTGTCTA